GAAGAAATGAAGAAAGGAGACATAAAACGAAGAGGAAGAAGAAGAGGAAGAAGAATAGAAGAAGAAAGGATACAGAAGAGGAAGAGGAAGAAAAAGAGAAAGAAGAAGAAAGGAAGAAAAAGAAAAGAAGAAAGGACACATAAGACGAAGATGAAGGAGAAGAGGAAGAAGAAGAAAGGAAGAAGAAGAAATGAAGAAAGGACACATAAGACTAAGAGGAAGGAGAAGAGGAAGAAGAATAGAAGAAGAAAGGATACAGAAGAGGAAGAGGAGGAAAAAGAGAAAGGAGAAGAAAGGAAGAAGAAAAGAAGAAAGGAGACATAAGACGAAGAGTAAGGAGAAGAGAAAGAAGAAGAAAGAAAGAAGAAAGGATACAGAAGAGGAAGAGGAGTAAAATGAGAAAGAAGAAGAAAGGAAGAAGAAAAGAAGAAAGGACACATAAGACGAAGAGGAAGCAGAAGAGAAAGAAGAAGATAGGAAGAAGAAGAAATGAAGAAATATATGTGTGTGTGTGTGTGTGTGTGTGTGGGCATATATATGTATATCTCTCTCTATATATATATATATATATATATATATATATATATATATATATGTATCATCCCGTGTATTAAAAGAGATAAAATTTATATTGGTTAAATAAAACGCGGTTTAAAAAAAGTGGCTATGAACACAAAAGAGCGATAAAAATGGTGGCGACATTAAATTCTTAATTTTCCCATATCCAATATACAAACCCACCTTTTGATTTTCAAAATGCCGAAATGGTTCAATTTATTCATCATAAATCTTCGAGAAGAACTATTTCAACGTCTTTGATGTCACGGTTCAATTCCATTAATCAGAATGTGAATTTTTAGAACATATCACTTTGTCCGGCTAAAATAATACTTAAAGAAACAAATACCAGTTGAACTACTTAATAAAAATGTTACAATAACTTTTAATCAAATTATACGTCCATAAAATCTCTTTACAATCTAAAAAATATATTACAAAGGCAATTGATGAGATATTTGAATCAGATTTGTTCTTTGTACTCAGTAATTATCAAAGTTTTAAATCACATTGTATTTGTGTATTTTAAGTATCCTGCAGATGAAATAGATGCTGAGAACCTAAAATGGCTTCTCTTCAAGTAAAGTCACAATGTGTGTCATGGTTCGTTGAAACAAAATCGGTTAGGCAGACTGAGCAAAAGTACAGGTCAAAGCTTAGAAGAGATCCATCGTTACGTCTGTCAATTGGTGCATGGCACAAGATATTTATGGAGATAGTGACAGTGTTGAATAGAAGCTTGGTCGACCAAAAACATCTGACGACTTGATGTGCTTTGTGCAACTAATGATGCCCATATAGAGCTGTATTAAATTAGTTGAAATAAACTTCACTATCTACTCTTAATTTTGTAACAATTTTCAGATATTTATCTGCTCATTTGCTTTTGTAATATTCTTTTTAAATTGTAAAGAGAGTTTATGGATATATTGAATATTATCCTTAACACATACAGGGTTATGCAAAAATGAAAGAATAGATTTCGATAATTAAATAAAAACAAATGCTGAGGGTGAGAAACCAATTATTGGATTAGAAAAAGTTCAAAGTTTATTATTTTAACGTTGTTCAACTTGTATGTACTCAGTATGAACACCTTGTGTTGGGTGACAAACATCGAAATGGTGTTCCTCTATTTACCAAACTGCAAAAAATTGATCTGTGGATATTGACTTTATAGTTTCAACAATTCGATGTCGTAAATCTTCAAGAGTAGCAGGCATAGCTAGAATAAACATTCATTCTTTTATATTCCCCCCCCCGCACCGCAGATAAAAATAGGGCGAGATCTGGTCATTTTGAATACTCTGAAAATGCATTGTGTTGAATCCAAATGGAGATTATTTTATGAATATCCGGAAACAATTGACCATCTTGCATCAGGTTGCACGGTTTTAGCATCGACCAAATGTAAAACTCTACATGACAGAGTGAGCTAATATTTTTACTGGAAAATCTGCAAAGGATTATTAAGAACGCAGTCCAAACTCAGTACAGACATAGGGACTGGGACAATTTTATGGTGATTTACAATACACACACGCAACAATCAAAGCTAATCGCTCAGACGTTGTGATCAAAGACAGCAAAAAATGTGCTTTCTTGTCATGGCATTCCCTGTGGACTGTAATGTATCTTTGAAGATTTTCCAAATACAAGGATCTTGAAAGTGGAAAATCTCAAAAATATGGCACATGAGGACATCAGTAATTCCAGTTGTAGTTGGAACACTCGGATTGATTGCAAAAGGGCCCGATGGACTCAATGAAGGGATTATTGGTAGTCTATGTCTTAAAGAAACACAACAAATATTATAAGTACGGCTCACACATTACGAAGAGCTTTCTCTATGTAAAATTCGTGTGATCTAGTTTTGTTTTTTTTTAATAGAAAAATGATCAGAAGAAAAATGTCATGAAATCAATTCTGACGTTAAGTCTTTTAGTTGGAACCTGCAATGGAATATAAAAAAAATCAAAGGAAGAAATAATAATAATAATAATAATAATAATAATCTAAAAAATGTGGCACATGGGAACATCAACAATCCCTGTTGTAGTTGGAGCCCTAGGATTGGTTGGAAAAGATTGCAGTAGACTAATGGAAGGGATTCTTGGAAGTCCATGCCTCAAAGAGAGACAAAAAATTGTTCTGACAAGTACAGCCCACACTTTACGAACGGCTTTATCTATGTAATTTTTTTTTTTTGCCGGTGGAAAGTGTCATGATTCCATTTCTAACCTTAGGTCCCTTGGCGGGATCTGGAAAGAAATGTGTAAACGCCAGAAATCAAAGGAAATAAATAAATAAATAAATAAATAATAATAATAATAATAGAATGGAGATCTAAACTATTATATGAAAAGTACCCAAAGCGTCTGGATGAGAAAACATCGATGTTCATCAAACCCATCAATGGTTTAGAAGCTGTGGCCTTAAGCGATAGACATAAGGCCTTATTATGCCAGCACAAGACCATTGTCTTCTTGTCCTGGGTAAGACGATAAACTGCATCCGGCAGCAAGGCCTCTGATCGGGAGATTGGAGGTTTTGAGGAGCATAGTGCCATCTCTTAATTGCTGTTGTTCCCAGGTTCAATCTGACCCGGGGACGTAGCACCTGTTAGGGAGCCAGCTATGGGCAAATAGTGAATTTACAGACAAAAATCAACTGTACATTTTTATAATAAAATGAGCAACAATTCATTTTTACAGTAAAGTTGCCAGTAATGGATTTTTTATTAAAAAAATTAATACATTTCTGTAGTGAAATTATCAGAAATGCATTTTATAATCTACAAACTATCTCTATCTATAAAAGGCAGGATGTGTGTGTGTGTGTGTGTGTGTGTGTGTGTGTGTGCTTCTACGACAGTTTTCATGTAGTTTGCGGCCATTTTCTACTGGCCCGAGTGAGAGCCAATAGCTGGCTGCCATGAATAGGCAGGAAGATTCTATTGGCCAGCGTGAGAGCCAACAGCTGATTGACACGAATGTTAACTAGCATGCAAAGAAAAAAAATCGATAGCTGCATTCGTCATAAGTGGGAAAAATTTAAATCTGCATGGCACTTTACTCCAATTGTCTCATTCGCTTGCTTAAACTCAACGTTGATTCTGATTCCGCAGAACTGGGTTGGGTGTGAAAAAGTATTTGCTGTTAACATTCTTTTTTCATTCGGTTTTTTCCAGTTACGAGTCCTTTTTTAAAGCTGATCGTTTTGTGTTCATTTTGTTTAGTTCTTTTTTCATAACAGATTTAATGTTTAGTATAGAGCATAGAAAAAATTCGCAGTGTGATATAGGCAAGAAGTAAGGCATGTAGCAACATCAGCACGGCAAAGGGCACTCCTTTAAAGGCAAGGAAGGGCAAAAATATTTTAAGTCAAGTGATAGCGATTGCTGTATGAGTCGTACGATTTTTGAATCAAGCACGGGCAACGCCGAACCATGCTGCTAGTATATTTATAAAACACACCTTTTATCCTGAAAGTATAATATTTTGTTTAAAATATTTAATTTTCGGCATTAAATAACCCATAGAGGTGTTGATATGCCGCTAAACAAAATGAACTATTTTGTCATTAATTTGGATTTTGTTATTAATTTTCCAAACTCTTCCATGTTCCAATACAGATCACGCCAGCAAGCGAGATGCTTCTTGTAGAAAAATATGTGACTCAGACAATAAATGTTTCACATATGCTTATGAAAATCTCGGGGGAAGATGTGAATTGCTTTATTACGATAATGACAGTAAGTAAATAATTCTGAATTATATTATCATTTTCATATTATCATTTTCATATTATTAAGAAATATTCAGTCATATGTGCCGATAATATTTTTTTTGTTCGGATGTTGTAAACACATGACTTGGCGATTAAAAATATTTTTTATTACGAAGTGTTTGTTGAGAAATATTAAAATTTAAACACTTAGATGCTTCATTATAGAGTTTCATTATTTTAATGAAACTTTTTAGGTCAAACCCCAAAACCTGGCTAGTAGGAATGGCAAGTCATCATAGGCAGAAAATAACAAAATAAGACTCAACCACTTGCTAAAACTTTAAAGGAAAACATTTATTAGACAAGGACGAAAAAGTCAAATATATTCACGGCTTGAAATCTTTAAAACAAAATTTTTAAATAAATATTTCATTCATTAATTGGTTGTAAACATGAAAGAAAACATTTGTATTTTAGCTAAATATTAGAATTTTAGCCATTTTTAAACAAATGAAACATGGTGAAACTGAATAACGTTTAACAGGTGTTGACAGAAATAAAATACATGTATATTTGCATGAATAAAAAACATAACCTGGTCATTTTTTCTAGGAAAAATTACTTGCTTTTTTATGTAATTAACGTTCACTATTTATGAAATGTTGAAGTTGTTGTGGACGTTGCTTTTGCGGGGGCTTGGGTAATTTTTGTTCCTAGCCCGGGTGTCCGCGCTCGGGCTCCGCACATTAAACCGACTTTCTGTCACAACCTGACCTCGTGGCGGTTGAGTAAATTCAAATTAGTATAAAGTACAGTTGGGCCCTTTTAACCCAGAATTCTTTGGGACAATGTGGTTCTAATTTCGCATTTATGAATTATATTCGGAAATATTAAAATTTAAATCACTTAGATTATAGAATTTCATTATTTTAATGAAACTTTGTAATGTGATAAATTTGAGATACAAATATTTAGATTTCGGCGTTAAATAACCCATAGAGGTGTTGATATGCCGCAAAAGGAAAAATCTACCAAATAGTTTCTTCCAACTTATGCCTACAAAACTAAAATCAACAAAGATGGCTCAAATCTTGCCTGTCAGCACATAGTATCAGGGAGTCTAGTCGTTGTTAAACAATAATGCATAAGACATGACAGGTTAGGAGAATGTATTAATTGGCAGACAATTCGAAATATGGTACTGAAGTTCCGGATACATGGTGTAAACATCACCCGAATGATGTGACAAATGGTTATGGAGTGATTATACCGTGGAATTTTCCAATCTTCACAGAGAGGAAAATTGATGAAAATAGACTAGACATAGTCAAGAAATTTCAAAAAAAGGAACCTTCTAAGTAACTGATATGATTTACCCACAGAATTCCGATATTTCTAACAAAGAATTTCTAACAAAGGACCTGCAAATCGAAGTAAGAAAAAAATGTTGAAACTTAAAACTACGAGTATCCTTGTCGTGAAAGGGGCACTGGATATAATAAAAAAGGGCACCGAAAATCCTGTGAGCACATTTCCTGGGCACATCAGCATCTCAGAGATACAAATGATTACTTGGACGGGACTATACAAAAATAGACCAGACATAATCATAAAAGATTTCGCAAAAGAAATCTGCCAACTAACTGATATGATTTACCCAAAGAATTTTAATGATTCTAACAAAGAATTTCAAAAACTGTCAAATGATAATGAGCTGCAAATCGAAGTAAGAAAAATGTTGAAACTTAAATCTACGAGTATCCTTGTTGGGATAGCGGCATTGGGTATAATAAAAAAAGGGCACCGAAAATCCTGTGAGCACAATTCTCAGAGATACAAATGATTAATTGGTCAGAACTATACATATCATCCGTAAAGCCTTCCCCATCTCGACGAAACGTCCCTAATATGCATAGATATCTCTCCTACAGTGCCCCTTTTAACATTCAGACCGCGGAAGGGATTTCGTAATTAGGCTCTTAAATTACTCTCTGGCAAGATGATACCAATAATAATAATAATAATAATAATAATAATAATGTGATTTCTTATTGTTAAAGGAGTTCCTGCAGACTGTAATGTATCTCTGAAGATCTTCAAAAAAACTATCAAAATACAAGAACCTTGAAGTAGATTTCTCAAAAATGTGGCACTGAAGAGTAAGCGTTCTCAAAGCAAATTTGTGGCTTTCACAACACAAAGAAAGAAAATCACTTGTAACGCGTCAGGAAAATAACTCACGAACGCCGTAGCCAAAACTGCCCGAATTTTCCTTCCCCGAGTCGAAAACATCAACTGCTTTTATCGGCAGAACCTATTTTTTCCATTCGTCGACAGCCAGGATAGGATGCTCCGTAATTTGCATATTAATATACTCTTATAGCGACTCCTGCGACGGACTTGTTTCTTTTTCGTCCCAGAATACACGCGACGCGCTGTCGCTTGGGTTGACGAGGTAAGTCGCTATAAGAGTTTTGCTGACTACTTTTTGGCAATCCCTCCCCGGCAGATCGCACACAAAACACGAACTTTTTTCTGGGGTACTTGATTATCTCGTTCACTACAGGCACATAAGGACATTGATAATTTCAGTTGTGGTTGGAAAGCCTCGCTTTGACTGGAAAAGGGTTCTGATAGACTAACTGAAGAGATCAATGGTAGCCCATGCTTTAAAGAAATACAAAAAAAGATATTTTTATCACCAATACAGTTCACACCTCACGAAGGACTTTACAATGAAAAATGTGTGCGTTCTTAGGTTAAAAAAATGATCAGTGGAAAATGTCATGAGTCCATTCCTGATATTAGATCTCTGGTTGGGACCCTAAAGGAAATGAATATACAATAGAAATCAAAGGAAATAATAATAATAATAATAATAATAATAGATATTTTTATATTTGAATTCTTTTAAAATATAAAAAAAATCAAATATAAAAATATATAACTGTCTATATTTCTGAGATGAGGTATTATGTACACTATTTACATTATTCGGACTATTGTCCTCATCTTTGTCGCCATATTTATTACAACGTTTCGGCCTTTCAGTATCTGTCTATATTTCTGAGATGAGGTATTATGTACACTATTTACATTATTCGGACTGTTGTCCTCATCTTTGTCGCCATATTTATTACAACATTTCGTTTGTCCTCAAGGACACATGGCATAGTGGATAAAGGCGTTCGTTTGATCCAGTGAGTTCAATAACCGGTTATGGCAATGGAGAACTTGGAGAGGGGAATTAACAGGAGATAATTGACATCCATTAGACATGTCACGTGGAACTAGAACAGTCTACCCCAGTGAGACGAAATAAAGCGTTCATTTCAACATTCAAACCACCTGAAGAAGGCCGGAGGAAGAACAGAATGAGGGAAGAGTTCCATAAGATTTATATGAAGCTGTTTGATTAATTCCTCTTAGTAATTCATCAAGGCACGGTAGAGGAATGTATTGCGGAATCGGAGAGCCGAGTTCGAATTCCAGTCGAATCCATTACATTCACTTACGTACTAATACCCTTGGGAAAGGTATGAATCCCCTTCTTCTCTTTCCAACTATGGGTAAATAGCAAGGCAGACTGGATTCTATAGCCTTGGATGGCAACTGATCTAGGAGAAGGACAACTCTGAATTCGAAACCTGTGGAGAGTCGCATATTGGTATTGATTGTAACTAGGAAACCACGGTGGAGTAATGGATAGCGGCTTGGATTGACGAATCAGAGTGCCAAGTTCGAATTCCAGTCGAATCCATTACATTCACTTACGTGCTAATAGCCTTGCGGATGGTATGAATCCTCTTCTTCTCCCCTTCCCCCAAGCTATGGGTAAAAATAGAAGGACAGACTGGGTTCTATAGCCTTGGATGGCAACGAGTCTACCGCAGAAAGAAATGGCAACCTACTGCTGGAAAAAATCTACCTCGTCAATCATGTATCGAAAGATATATGATCGCCTAAGCGTGCATCGCGCATGGCACATAACTGACTGAACTAATCAACTAACGGAAGATTCCAGGATAAGCAAGATCGCCACGTTACAGTTTCATGCCTTCACGATGGCAGTAAAGCCGTTTTTTCATTACAAGACAAGAAACTTTTTATTATCCTCCCCACTCCCTTAGAGAGAGAGAGAGAGAGAGAGAGAGAGAGGGAGGGAGAGAAAAGGTAGAGAAAAAGAGGGAGATCTAGAAAAGAAAGACAAAAGAAAGAAGCGAAAAGAGGAGGAAAATAAAGAGTGGGAGCGATAGAGAAAGAGGGAAAGAGAAAGGAGTAAACAGATAGAGAGATAATGGGAAAGAGAAGGAGAGATAGAAATATATATATATATATATAGAGAGAGAGAGAGAGAGAGAGAGAGAGAGAGAGAGAGAGAGAGAGAGAGTGAGAGAGAGAGAGAGAGAGAGTGAGAGTGAGAGAGAGAGAGAGAGAGAGTGAGAGAGAGAGAGAGAGAGAGACTCTTGATTTTGTCAAAAGACAGAAGACAGCGGTAACTCTTACTTTTCAGGAGTGGAGGGGGTCATACTAATATTTTTTTTTTCACTTTGCTTCCGTGGTCATCACCCTCAGCCATCATTTCATAAGATTGATAGAATTTTTATACATATTTTTGTATACACATTTGTACATATTGAAATTGTTACGTCATGGGGTGCTTGATCTATTTTTTGTAGGTGGTTTGTGTGTGTGAAGGTGTGTATGTATTTTGGTTTATGTAGGAGCTTATGGTGACCGATAAAGTCTTAGAGTGAATGAGTAAATTGTAACGAATAAATGGGTCGTGAATTTGATTAGTTAGGTATAGGATATTTATTGTCGACCAGACCCATCTCCCCACTTTTTCGGCCTTGTGCCACAATTACTGTATTTTATCAGTAGTAAATCCTAGACAAGCAATGTTTGTACAAAGACTTCTCTTATCTATAATTATAATAATAATAATAATAATAATAATAAAGAAATAATAATAATAATAATAATAATAATGAGAAGAAGAAGTAGTAGTAGTAGTAGTAGTAGTAGAAGAAGAAGAAGAAGAAGAAGAAGAAGAAGAAGAAGAAGAAGAATTCTTACGAGTACAGCCGACACATTACGAAGGGCTTTATGTATGTAAAATATTTTTTATTTTTTTTTAATTGGTCACTGGAAAATGTCATGGTGCCATTTCTAGCCTTAGGTCTCTGGGCAGGACCCGGAAAGAAATGTGTACACACCAGAAATCGAAGGAAATAATAATAATAATAATAATAATAAATCAAGCTAATATCTTGCTTAATAGTACGGACCTAAAATGTAGGTTTTGTGAACAATACATTGAAACTATTGATCATCTTATCTCAGGAAGATTGATACTCACACTCGAGGAGTAGAAAACGGTCATGTCAGGGTAGGTCATTATCTGAATTGGTTGACCTGTCATCATCACTACGAGATAAAAACAGCTGAAAACGAGTATTGAACATTATCATGAATCTGTATGTGAGGGAGCAGATGTTATCATCCGCTGAGATTTTTTCTATCAACACAGATCGAACAATACAAGCAGATCGAACCAGACTTTATCACCAAAGATAGAAAAAGAAAAAAAAACAGTTTGCTCACTGTTTGACATGCAAAAAACATCTTCTGTAAAGATCTTTGAAAAACTAACCAATTCAAAAGACAGGGAAATGGAAAGAGAAAAATAATGTGGCACTTAAAGACTAAAACACTTCCTGTTGTGGTTGGAGCTTTGGGTCTCATAAAGAAAGGAACTCAACAACAATTCAACAAAATCCCTAGTGCACCATCTCTCCAGCAAATCCAACTAATAGTTCTAACAAGCACAGCTCATATCACGCGAAGAGCTTTTTTTTCTTTGTGTGTGTGTGTATGGATATGTGTGTGTCGATATGTGTGTGTGTGTGGATATGTGTGTGTGTGTCGATATGTGTGTGTGGATATGTGTGTGTCGATATGTGTGTGTGTGTGTGTGTTATAGGCTGCCTTTTGTTTAATTAAGTAGAAAGACCGAACATCCTTTGCTTGCTTTCGGTCACTGATTATGACCCGACATGTGATTATAAAACAAATACAGTTTCAAAATATTTTTTTATAATAATAATAATGATAATAACCCATCTTTATCTTAAATACGAAAGTTTGTGCTAATGTATATTATTCACAAAATTAGAAAAACTATTTCAATCCCATATGTTCAGTAAATTCATAAAAAGTAAAAGCTTTTCGTTATCATAGATCATAGATGAAAGACTTGGCAAATAATTGCATCAAATACAATGCAGAGCACCAAAAAAACCCCAAAAACAACAACAACAAAAAAAACGAATGTCCATTGAATGGCAATTACTTGCAAAACAATATAATATACCAAGCCACTGTAAAATCAACAGATAACGAAAAGAAATATATTGTGATTATTTAAGCGTAGCTTAGGTGTGGTACAAGGCCTATAGTAATGGGCACCCAGTGAGCTACGAACCTGAAAAGAAATATATATAGTAACAGAATGGCCCTGAAAACAGAAATTACGCGCACAAACAAAAATATAAAATACGCGAATTATACAATGCTTTCTAAACATCTATGGGAAATTAAAAACAAATCACATATCATGGGAAATAAAGAAACCAGCATCAACCTTCAACAATAAATCCAGAAACTGAAAATTCGGCCTGAAGAAGAAAATAGTCATATTTACCTTCCTAAATCAACAAAAATGACTAAATAAACGATCAGAATTTATCTGAAGATGCAGACACGAAAACAAATTTTTAATACGTTACTTAAGAATCGAAACTAAAAAAACGCAAATATATATAACACACTTTAGACAAAACCAGAACTTTAAACTAAACAAATAAGTTAAACAAGCCAAGGAAAAAATAAGATTTAAAAAAAAAATATTAAAAAAATCTAAAAATTAAAAAAAAATTAAGTAAACAAACAAATTAACAAACTACAAAAGCACATATAAATACAAGTACTGTAATTCCCCATGTATAATACGCATTTTTTTTCTAAAAAATAATTAGCAAAATTAGGAGTGCGTATTATGCACAGCTATAAAAAAAATCTTCCAAAAATTGCCGTTTCATAGGTCGATTTCAGTTGCGAAATGACTACTCACCACAAACATACGACAATTTGACACAAACATTCGACGATTGCGGCCCCAGAAGGATGTCAAATACAATCATATGGACCTAAAAATACTTACAAATGTAAAATAAAATAAGAATTATCATAAAACAAAGTCAGAATAATATTATTCTATGTTTAAAAACATTTTTTTAATAAGTGTAGGAAACTCTAGACGTAATGAAATTTGAGAGGTACAATTTATAGGATTTCATTACCAAATGAGAGGTGCATATTATGCTTAAGTAGAGTCATTTTCCCACACTTTCAGCACAATTTTAGGGGTACGTATTTATGGAGGAAGACGAATTACGGTAAATGTAATAATAATAATCAACAGTAAATAATTAAGTAATCAATAACAAAGAATGAGTAAAAAGGTAACAACACTATAGACTGACTATCTGCAAATAACAGCATCCGGATCCACAATTATTTCCACTCAATAGCCCCCAGAATAATTTGAATCATAACCGTTACCACCCACCAAAATAACCGTGAGAAGAATACAATAGACTTTACTAGTCATAATGCACGCATTCTGGGTATAACGACTACTACATCCGACAACAAGGCCCCTAATCGGGAGGCTTTGAGAAGCGTGGAACCACCTCTTAATTGCTGTGGTTCTAGGCTCGATCCTAACCCGCGGTGATAGCACCTGTTAGGATTCCATCATCATCATCCCCACACTCTTGACTTTTGTAATCGTAGGGAGGATCCGAATGCTGAAGCCCCACTAACTCTTTTCCATCAACGGTCTATTTACAGCAGTCATCAACAATTCTGGTATAGTCATACCTGTCCATTGTTTGACATTGTCCAACCAGTTTTTGCATTGGCGTCCTAGCCTATGTCCACCTTCAACGATGCCTTGCGACCAGTCTTGCACAATTTCAATAAAACCTTAAAAATATATAGATTTACTTCTTTCTAATCCTTTTTACAAATTATTTCTATCGCAAATACAAATAAAGTTATAAATTTTTTTAAAGTGCACACGGACTTTATGGACACCTCGTATATGAAACAGAACAAATGCTTTTAATTTAATTATATAATTACTTATATAATTTAATTATATAATTAATTATATAATTTAATTATATAATTAATTATATAATTTAATTATATAATTAATTAATTATATAATTAATTATATAATTTAATTAAATAATTGAATTCGAATTTTTTAGCTTCGGTTTTTGAAACATGGTAATTCCTGTGTAGCGGAGAAACCATATTTTAAATCAGTTAATTTATAATGCTTATGCTTTGTAAATTTACATTGAGCACTGTTTTGTAAAAAAATCAAAATCAAAAAAAAGAACACCGGATTATATATCTTACTGTTCCTTCTTTTTATTATATATATATATATATATATATATATATATATATATATATATATATATATATATATATATATATATATATATATATATATGTATGTATTTATATATAATATATATATATATATGTAGAGATAGATAGATAGATAGATAGAGAGAGAGAGAGAGAGAGAGAGAGATAGTGGGGATTTGCTGGTAGCTAGCTCAATATTCGGGCTTGTAGCATTAGTTGATCTTATTCGGTCAATGAGAATCTCTGACGGGGCCGAATGAAATTCTGGATGTTAGCTGCCCACCTTCTGTCAACGGAAATTTAAGCTTTTCCTTTCGAAACCGACTCGTCGCGCAAGCCGTAAGTGACCCGGGGTGATAATCCAATATTTGGATAGAGTCGAAGACGTGACGCCTCCAGATCAAATCTAAACCCCGCTTTATTCACGACCAGATTCTTTCCGGTCCCTGACCACTTGCTCACGTATGCTTGGAGGACAGCAAACATCGGCTTTATAAATAACAAGGGTGGCGCACACCGTTTCCGATCCTTCTTACCCCGTCACTGCCTGGGGTCGTCTGGGTGGATTGGTTGGTATTGGTTTAGAAACGGAACGTTAGTTACTGTATCAGGACTCGCCCATGAGCAAGGAAAAAGATTAAATTTTTAACAAAAGATTAAATAAAATAAAAAAAAGACACACCTTCTAGTAATATCATCATACACGTTCATTGCGGACATTGTCTGGAGGTCAAGTTAAAAGGTTGAAAAGGAAATTTATCAAATAGATGTTGATTTTAGCTTAGTAAACACAGATTTCAGAAAATTATTTAACTCTAAGCCTCCTCAGGGCCGGTGCGAGGGCCTCGTTCCCCCACCTCCGATCTAATAAATAAACCCCCAAACTCTACATTTCAATTTTTATAAGGTAGTATTCTTATAAAATACAGATTTTATTGTAGGCAACTTATATACAATAAGGGACCATAAGCAATATAATCCCTTATATATACAACTAGAAAAATTAAAAATAAATACAATGTATCTAAATACAAATTAGAAACATGTCATAATATTCCGTTCCATCTTAAATAAATCAACGGTTTGCGGAAATTTTTAAAATTAGGATTTTTCTTCTTAAAAAGTTAAATAATTTTAACACATTTAATATTACGGTTAAAAAAAATAATGAATTTTACACAGTGCTTTTTTTTTAGACATGGTATGATACAAACAAATTCACAGATTTGGACGGGAGAAAAGAAAGACCCTCAGAATATGTGGTCTCGTGTACCCCTCCTCTATTTTAATATAAAGGTTCTCCACTCTACTAAATCTCAATTTTCATAAGGTAGTATTCATATAAAATACAAATTTTGTTGTCACCTAATTATGTAGAATAATGGGTCATATGCAAAATAGGTGAACAATTCAACTAGAAAAATTGTACACTATTTACATTATTCGGACTATTGTCCTCATATTTATTACACGCCATATTTATTAAAACGTTTCGGCCGTTGTACGCTCCGGCCTTCTTCAGGTGGTTGGAATGTCGAACAGAACCCGTTATTTCGGACACATGTCACAGTGGATAAAGGCCTTTATCAGTGCGTCTTCAATTTATATTTTTTAAAAATTCAAGTATAAAAATATATAACTGTCTATATTTCTGAGATGAGGTATTATGTACACTATTTACATTATTCGGACTATTATCCTCATCTTTGTCGCCATATTTATTAAAAAGTTTCGTTTGTACTCAAGAATACATGACATAGTGAATAATGGGTTTAGTTAGATCCAGTGACAAGACCCAAAGAGTGTGAGTTCAATACCCGGTCAAGGCAGTAGAGAATTTGGAGAGGGGAATTAACAGGAGATAACTGATAACGGACATCGATTAGACATGGCACATAGACTAGAACAGTCTACCCCAGTGAACGAAATAAAGGTTTCAGTTCGACATTCCAACCACCTGAAGAAGGCTGGAGCGTACAACGGCCGAAATGTTGTAAGAAATATGGCGACAAAGATGAGGATAATAGTCCGAATAATGTAAGTAGTGTACATAATACATCATCTCAGAAATTTTTTTACGGAAAGCGTGTAGTTGAATTCTTTTGGATTTCCTCGGTGTCTTGAAATCTTATTTCTTTCAAGTGGGATTTGAGTTTTGGAAAGTGGAAAAAAAATCGCAGGGGATAAGATCTAGGGAATATGGTGATTGTCGAAGCTAGGGAATGCTGTCCTTGTTCTCAAACTGCTGCACAAGCCATGATCACTGATATAATTTTTATGGTGTCGTGAGACGACCACACTCTACACACTTTCCTTTCAAATCTAAATATTACCAACGGAAGTGTGCAAGATCGTTATAACTTAGTGTGTATACGCAGCTTTTCCATCTAGGTGTTGAGTAGGATCGACATTGCTTAACTTATTTGTGTGCACAGAAGAGGAAACAATGTTTCTGGTTTTCCTAGTGCGTGAATTCGGTGTATATTTCTAACCGATGTCAGAGGCCGGTGGTCGAGCCCAGGTAAAATCCATGTTTTTGAATGCTATTTTTCTAAGAGGAGAACTATAATCTATATGGAATATTGACGTAACATAATCTTCCTTCCTAATAGGCTTCTTCCACATTTTTGTTGTTAAACATCTGTATCGATAAGGGGAGAGAGAGAGAGGGAGGGAGAGAGAGAGGGGGGGAGAGAAAAGGTAGAGAAAAAGAGGGAGATCTAGAAAAGAAAGACAAAAGAAAGAAGCGAAAAGAGGAGGAAAATAAAGAGTGGGAGCGATAGAGAAAGAGGGAAAGAGAAAGGAGTAAACAGATAGAGAGATGATGGAAAAGAGAAGGAGAGATAGAAATATATATATATATATATAGAGAGAGAGAGAGAGAGAATGAGAGAGAGAGGGAGTGTGTGTAGGAGAGGGGAGAGAAACTAGACGATGAAAGAGTGGAAGAAGCAAAAGAAAGAAATATATATATATATATATAGTAAAAGAGAGAAAGAGAAAGAGAATAAAAGAGTGGAAGAAACAAAAGTGTAGAGAGATGGGGATAGAAAGGGAAAAGATGGGGAGAGGGAGAGAGAAAGGAGTAGTGAGAGGGGGATAGATAAGAAAGAGAAAGGGAGGAAAGAGAGAGTGAAGGGGGAAATACGAAATATATATCATGGGTAAAATAGAGAAAAAGAGAAAGGGGTAAAGAGATTAGGAGGGGAAGAGGAGAAAGGGAGGGAGAGTAGGAAAAGAGAGTTAGAGAGAGGGCGAAAAAAAAGAAAGGAAGAGAGAGGAAAATACAAAGTGGAAAGGGAGTAGATAAAACGATTTATAAAAAGGTGAGAAAGAAAAGAAAAGAGAGAACAAAGAAAAGAATGAGAGAAAACGAAAGGAAAAGAAGAGAAAGAAAAGAAGGAGAGAGAAATGAAAAGAAAAGAAGGAAACAAAGAAACGAAAATGAGAAAGAAAAGAAAAGAAGAGAAAGAAAAGAAGGAGAGAAAAAGGAAAAGAAAAGAAGGAAAGAAAGAAAAGAAGGAGAGAAAGAAAAGAAGGAGAGAAAGAAAAGAAGGAGAGAAAGAAAAGAAGGAGAGAAAAAGATAAAGAAAAGAAGTAAAGAAAGAAACGAAAGAGAGAAAGAAAGGAAAAGAAGAGAAAGAAAAGAAAGAGAGAAAGAAAAGAAAGAGAGAAAGAAAAGAAAAGAAGAGAAAGAAAAGAAGGAGAGAAAAAGGAAAAGAAAAGAAAGAAAGAAAGAAAAGAAAGAGAGAAGGAAAGAAAAGAAGAGAAAGAAAAGAACGAAAGAAAAGAAAAGACGGAAAGAAAAGAAGGAAAGAAAGAAAAGAGAAAGAAAAGAAAAGAAGAGAAAAGAAAGGTGAGAAAGAAAAGAAGGAAAAAAAAGAAAAGACGGAAAGAAAAGAAGGAAAGAAAGAAAAGAAAGAGAGAAAGAAAAGAAAAGAATAGAAAGAAAAGAAGGAGAGAAAGAAAAGAAGGAGAGAAAAAGGAAAAGAAAAGAAGGAAAGAAAGAAAAGAAAAGAAGGAAAGAGAAAAACAAAAGAATGAAAGAAAGAAAAAAGAAAAAGAAAGAAAGAAAGAAAAGAAGGAGGAAAAAAGAAAGAGAAAAGAAAGAAAGAAAGAAAAGAAAAAGAAAAGAAGAGAGAAAAAGGAAAAGAAAAGAAGGAAAGAAAGAAAAGAAAAGAAGGAAAGAGAAAAACAAAAGAATGAAAGAAAGAAAAGAAAGAGAGAAAAAGAAAGAAGAGAAAGAAAAGAAGGAGTGAAAGAAAAGAAGGAGAGAAAAAGAAAGAAGAGAAAGAAAAGAAGGAGTGAAAAATGAAAAGAAAAGAAGGAAAGAAAGAAAGGAAAAGAAGAAAAGAGAAAAAGAAAAGAAATGAATGAAAGAAAGAAAAGAAGGAAGAGAAAAGAAAAGAAGGAAAGAAAATGGAAAAGAAAAGAAGGAAAGAAAGAAAAGGAAAGAAAGATGAGAAAAGTAAAGGAGAGAAAAAGGAAAAGAAAAAAAGTAGAAAAAGAAAAGAAAAAAGAAAAGAAAAAAAGAAAAGATCCCGGCGTGGAATAAAAATTAGAAAAAAAGAAAAAAAGAAATTATTTTGTTCTAAAATCGACAAATATTCAAAAGTGTGCCCAAGTGTAAGATCTTCTAACGACGAGGGTTGGGCTTTGAACTTTTCTGGTTGCCGTAATGTGTTCTGGTAAAGTGAAGCATTGAATAACCAAGTATTGGATAAAGCGGGTGGATGATAAGGGTGGTGATCATTTTAAACCCCCCTACCCCCACCCCCCGCACACACACACACACACACACACACACACACACACACACACACACACACACACACATTTGTCAACCGTACGGGCGAAATAGCGTTATCAGTCAATGAAAACAATTGAGCGACTATAGTCTTCAGTCAGACACAGGTTGTCTGTCTGTATTGTTAATCTCCGGTTAGAAAGCACTTGCACTACGCTATGACCAATTGTATACACACAAAACACACACATGTACGCACGCACACACACGCACGCACACATGCACACATGAACGCATATATATATATATATATATATATATATATATATATATATATCCTTCACCGGTAGCATGACTCGGAGTTACATGCACAACGCAATCTTCAGGCGCAGTGTATAGACTGACCGTTAAATAATTTAAATAAAAATAGCTACTTAACGGACTGTTGGCACAATTACATTTTATACGTTCATTACAGTTAATTATTTTTAAAAATATATTTGTAATTCAAAAATGGGATATATATATATATATATATATATATATATATATATATATATATATATATATATATATATATGGTTGGATTATCGATATTATGGTTGGATATATATATATATATATATATATATATATATATATATATATATATTGGATATATATATATATATATATATATATATGGTTGGATTATTTCTTTTGTACAATTTAAGTGCCTTCGATTGTCTAGATTCTGATAGCGTAGGATTGTATAGAGATGATGGCTTATTAGTTGTTAAAAACTCCACTAAAATTAAGGTAGACCGTATTAGTAAAATGATCCATAGGGTATTTAAGGATTTAGGTCTTAGGACAATAGTTACAACTAATGTTAAACAAGTGGATTTTCTAGACGTCACCCTAGACCTTGCTAACAACACTTTCCAACCATATGTGAAGGTTAATTCCAACCCAATATACGTGCATCCAAATTCCAATCATCCCTCTTCAGTTATCAAGCACATACCCTCTTCCATTGGATTTAGAATTAGCACTAACTCTTATAACAAGGATGTTTTTAATAAACATTGTGATTTTTACAATTCTTCACTCAAAAATAGTGGATACAAAGATACCACTATTCAATATAAAAACCCTGTTAATTGCAACCGTAATAAGAAAAAAAGATCTAGAAAGATTATTTGGTTTACTCCCCCTTTCAATATAATGGTTAAAGCTACATTAGGACGTATATTTTTAAACCTCATCAAGAAACATTTCTCCAACCCTGAAACTAATCCACTTAGTAAAATATTTAATCCTAATACCCTTAAATTAAGCTATAATTGTGCAGATAACCTAGAGAAAATAATTAAAAAACATAACACGTATAGGGACTCAAAATGCTTGACTACTCAACAGGTTACTAACCGCAATGCTAAATATAATAACACAAATAACAACTTATGTAATTGTAGGAATCCTAATAATTGTCAACTACAAAATAACTGTAGGATTAGTTCTGTAGTCTATCTTAGTACAATCTCAACAATGGAAAATCCAAATATATATTTTTTTTAATTGGTAGCACCATGAAAACATTCAAGGAACGCTGGCGGGGGCATATGCAATCCTTTAATCACAATGAATATAGGTACATGACTTCATTATCCAAGTATTTTTGGAGTCTAAAAAGAAAAGAAAAAAATATAAATGGAGATTGATTAAGAAAGCCCGAACCTGTAACTCCATACATGCCCATGTTACCTATGTCTTAACGAAAAATTTGAAATTATTAGATTTAAAAACAAGGCTGATCTCTTAAATCAAATATATGAACTAACTGTTAATTGTAAACACCGTTATAAATTTAACTTATTATAGGGGTCGTATGGTCATCCTGACGATATAAATGTGTATTTTTTACCTACATAGTGTTATTCGTGTATGTGTATGTGTGTATATATTTTTGTGTATATATGTGTGTTTGTACTGCGGAATGTGTATATTTGTATATAAGTGTATTTATATGTTAGTGGTTTTATATATATATATATATATATATATATATATATATATATATATATATATATATATATATATATATATATATATATATATAAGTAAGAAGGTAATAAGGAGAAGAAGAAGAGAAGAGGTTAAAAAATATTGATATATATATATATATATATATATATATATATATATATCCTGTTATATTGTGTATCTATATTTATATTTACGTATATTTCTGTATGTATGAATATGTTTATATATATATGTTAGAGTACATGTATATGGGTGTGTGTGTGTGTGTATGTATATGGATGTATGTTTATGTATGTATATGTATGTACGTTTATATATGTATTTGGTTGAATGTCTGTGTATTATATGTATGTACGTATATATATTTACTTGTTATTATGGATATGTATATGTATGTATATGTTTGTATGTATGTATATATGTATGTGTATATATATATATATATGTGTGTGTGTGTATATATATATATATATATGTGTGGGGGGGTGTGCATATATGTGTGTGTTGACACCTATTATATATGAGATTGTTTGTGTGCATGTGTAGGTATGTAAACTTTGGTTTCTCATTACTGCCACAGTAGTTAGTCTATGTGTGTGTGTATGTATATTTTTGTGTATTTGTGTGTGTATATGTATATATATGTATATGTGAGTATGTGTGCATATATGTGTGCATATATGTATGTATGTGTATATGTACTTGTTATCATAAGTATGTATATGTATGTATATGTTTATATATTTATATCTATGTATTTATATGTATATATATATATATATATATATATATATATATATATATATATATGTGTGTGTGTGTGTATGTATATGTGTGTTGGTTTGTGTTTACTGCCGCGTGTGTAGGTCTATGTGTATATATATGTATTTGTATGTGTATTTGTCTGTGTGTGTATATCTGTCTATCTATCTATATATATATATATATATATATATATATATATATATAGATAGATAGACAGATATACACACACACACACACACACATATATATATATATATATATATATATATATATATGTTTCATTAAAAACGACAGACAAGGTACTACTGTTGAGCTTTTTATTTAATTTTTCTTGTGTTCTGACAAGAGCTTTCTTTTCTGGACAAAGAGTGTGTAAGAACTGTCTAAACGTTTTATATTTCCGAGCACTTTCGGCTATACCTTTAGCCATTATCAAGGATGATTCGATTATCAGCTTAGTTGAGTGTGTGCGTTCTATGTATGTATCAGTGTGTGGCAGGGATATTATTAATTTCCGAATACGGTTAGCACATTGTGGCCTTGTTCATAGTTAATATTGTTAAGAGTTGGCTTTTTCTTTTTTATTATTAGAGCTTCCATTATTTTTAGTCTTTTTTTGCAAGTGGATGCAGTTAATATATTTGTGTTTTCTACTAGTATGTTCCTAATAGTGTCGGGTAAATCTGAGTGTGTGTTTAAATGTGTTCTGATGGAACTGTGATCAGATAGGTGTAATGTAAGACGTCTGGATAAACATGTGGTTGTGTAGCCGATGTAATTATTTATGAGTCCGGTTTGGTGAGGAACGCAATTCCTTAAAGGGCATTTGAACTCATAGATAATGTTCGTTCTTTGTAACTTTGACTTAGTTGGTGTGTTGTTATTTTGAGGATAAGGTTGGCCGTCTTAAATTTTTTTATAATAGATAATAAGTTTGATTTTTTATCCGGGTCAATAGGAGTAGTATATTTCTTTATAATATGTCTTAGAGAAGATTCATCTTGTTTGTAATTAATATGCATTTGGTTTTTGTAATAAATGTGTATGTGACTTTTAGTTGTGTGTTCGCTATCGTTATTACTTGCTTTGGGGAGGAATAGTCTAATTTGTTGGTCTATAAGGTAGTTAGGGAAACCGCTGTTAATTAGTGTTTGTTTAACGTTGTTAAGTTCTTTGAGAAAGAGTAGTCGAGAGGATGAGCTCTGGTGGGCTCTATTTAGAAAGTTTTTTATTACTGCTATTTTGTACCTAAGTGGACATTCGCTTTTGAAATTAAGGTGGCACGAGTTTTTGCTGGTGGGTTTTTTGTACAATAATATAATGAAAGTGTTATTGTTGTGTTCAACGAGGATATCTAAGAATGGTAGTTTGTTTTTTTGGCTAAGTTCATATGTAAAATTAAGGACGGAGTTTTTCTCAAATGTGGTCTTAAGTGTCTCTATTTCTTTAATGTTATCAGCTAAATGAAGATATCGTCTACGTAGCGAACATAGATTTTCGGTTTGTGGACCTGTGTAAATATAGTATTTTCTACGTGGGACATATAATAGTTGGAAAAGCATGGACCGAGTGGATTTCCCATACTAACACCATTAGTTTGGGTATAAATATTGCCATTATGGTCATAGAAGGGGACTTTGGTTGTGCATGCGTGTAGTAATTTTTTAGGATGGATGGTTTGATTGATGGCGGAAGGATGGAATTATTATTGTATACAGAGTTGAGGATAATGTCAATAGTTTGGTCGACGGGGACGTTTGTAAATAAGTTTTCGAGATTGCTGCCTAAATATTCAACTATATATATATATATATATATATATATATATATGAGAGTGTGTGTATATTTGTGTATGTATGTATGTTTATGTATATGTACTTGTTATTATACATATATATATATATATATATATATGTATGTATATGTTTATATATATATATATGTGTGTGTGTATATGTGTGTGGATGTATATGTATGTGGTGACACCTATCATATGTGAGATTGTGTGTGTATGTAGATATGTCAACTTTGGTTTGTGTTTACTGCCAAGTGAGTAAGTCTATGTATGTATATATGTATATATATGTGTATTTGTGTGTGTGTATATATGTATATATATATGCATATGTGAGTGTTTGTGTATTTGTGTATATATATGTATG